TTGAGGCTGAAGTAAAAAGTCTTCCTCCCTTGTCCCATAGTTGACCCCTTACTCCTGTATCCTTATATGGATAATTTGTCCGTTTCTGCTGATCCTTGAAAACATCTGGTGGTTATCTGTAGCTGCAGCCTGCACAAGCAGTATCTGGTTGCTATTATCTGGTTGCTGTTTTTAGTTTGCGTAGGCGATTTTGTATCTCATATCTTTTGTAGTTTGGCCTTTACATTTGGCTTAACCTAAACCCTAATAAACAATACTATAGTCCATAGTTTCCCACAACCCCCCTTTTTCTTTTTATCCTATTATTGTTTATTAGATGCTGTTCTCATTTTCAGTGCTATAAGCAAACCTTTTTCCACAATCTCTACATTTATTATAGCACTCACAATGTAATACATTATCGTTACAATGGCAATCATAGTTTTCGCGTTGCATATCACATTCACAATAATCTTCATCCTCATCAATAGGTACGTTCCCATATCTTGCTCTAGATTCTGTAGTTAAAATGAGCAATTTAGTTATGTCGAACCGTTCTCTGATAAAGCGCAAAATATAACGTAATATACAAGGTCCAAATATAAGTCCCAAAATTAACATAATAAGCGGTCCTGCTAAAGCAGATAACAAAGTAGTTAACCAAGGTGAGACRTTAAACCAGTTTTCATACCATGACCTGCCCATTTCACGATCCTTTTTACGTTRATCCAGCCTTTTCCGGAGTTCAGACATGGCGTCTTAGACTACTCCTGTATGATCAGCAAAGGAGCAACATTCTTCATTGAGAGCCACACAGAGCCCTCCTTCCTTTAAAAATAATAAATCCAATCCCCTTCTATTCTGTAGTACTACTTCTGATAAGGATTTTATTGAAGTGGCTAAGCTTTGGATAGATTGTTCTATTTTCRCTAAATCTTCATCTACAGCCATCTGCAAATTTTGTAATTCTTGACCTTTTACTAGGGAGGCTATACCTGTACCTGCTCCAACTCCGCCCGCTATCAGTAATGTAGCTAGGGTTACCATGATAATTGGCTCTCTTTTTTGTCTATTTAGGTCTCCTTCGAAATGGCGTAACACCTCCTCAGAGGTGTGATAGATCAGACGAGGAACAATAATCACCTGTATGCAAAACTGAGATTGATTAAATACATTTAGAGATATACAAGGTGTTACTCCTATGTCTGAACAGACCCATTTGGCTCCTGGTGTCGGGATAGCCCACTTGTCTTTCTGATTCTTGTGATTCTCTATATTGGTYTTAGAGACTGTTCGKTTGCACAATGGTTGATATTTTCTGGGCACTGTACCTATACATTTCCCTTGACCTGTTACCAGTTGGATAGTAATTCCTTGCGTATGGTTCTTTTGATCGTCCCATGGGCATTCTCGTGGGTTTGAACCCTTGGACCATTGAACTTTACCCATCCTCCCAATTGCCTCAAAGTACGGTGGTCTAATATTATAACATAACCAGCATTCTTCAGTTAAACTTGGTT